TCTGCTCCCAAATACAAAGGAACAGAGCCAAAATCCCAGCACATTTTGGGTGCTTGAGATCCTTACTAATTTTCAACATAAATGTTCAATACACAGGGCACATCTACAGAGCAGGGCTGAAGTCGAATGAAGCTATGCAACTGGAGCTACGTCAGTTACGTTGCTGAAGTCGAAATAGCTTAACTTGGCTTTTGGTGCCGTCCACACAGCAGGACGTCCGAGGTAGAGCACTCCTCCTCCGACTGCCCTTACTCCTCGTGCCATGAGAAGTCCTCCAGCTCAACAGTATTTTGAAATAACGGCTTGCTGTGCTGACGCGCTCTCTGTTATTTCGGAATAACGTTAGTTATTCCGGACCAACGCTGCTGTGTAGACATACCCAAAGAGAACAACACATTGGCTAGACCCACTGCAGGTAAAACCCCCTTTGAGCACACGGAAGCACTGGTTACCCGAACGGCAACGTTCAAGAAAGGCGGTGCCTATCAAAAGTTCACTCTCGCTTAGATTGGGGAGTTTTGTTTGATTTAAAATCAAATGCTGCCCCTCTTCTGGAAAGCGCCCCGCTTTCATCCTTAGGAGGGCCTTGGATCAGCCCCTCACTGAACTGAATGCAAGTTCAGCAGACTTTGCGGACTATTGAGCATCTCCTCAGCAGCACAGGGCACCACGCGCTCAGGGCTCCGTCTGTATCTTCCAAGCGGGCAGCCCAGCTTAGCTAAACGAACCTAACATGCCCCCGATCCCCGGCACAATGCATCTGGCCACCACACGGATGATGTGCATGATCCTGAGCTTTCTTGGAACTGCCCTGGACCATGGGCCAAGCTCCCACCAGAACTAAGGACCATCACGAGCTTCCCCATCCTTTTCAGCAAGTACCAGAGGCAGATCTTCCATCTGCCTTCTCCGATATAAACCCAGAGCCGACCGACCCGTAAACAACCACAATACAGAGCCCTACCAAAACAAAGCATCGCCCTGTGCACACCGTTCTCCCCTGCGCAGGAGGAGGGGAGAGAAATCAAACCACACAGGACAGATGGGAGTCGCATTGGAGGCGCAGTGATGAGACTCTCTAGTAGAGCATAGGGCTCAGATTTCCCCGACACGAGGGCGCACAAGCACGCCTGAATAGAAACACACCTAGAAATGAAGCAAGCGTGTTGTCTAGCCTGTGGCAGAAAAGAGGCTAATGAGAGAGAGATCCTGCACTTCTAAATACTCCAGAGTAGTGCAGATGTTCTGGTAACATGGGGGTCTAGACACAAAAGAGGAAACTGTGTAGATACAACTCTGACATCTGGGAAGCTTTGGACATGTGCTTCTTCCCTCCATCCCTATCATGAACGGCAGCAGATCTAGAAGGGGGGGCACATTTTGATTTTGCATTTTGGCCAATAAATGAACGGCCTAAATTGCCAACATATGGACAGGCGCGCTAGCCAGAGACATTTTGCGTTTCTGCGTGGGAGCATCATGCAGCCGGCTGTCTGCGTTTGGAAGGGGAGTTACTGGCAAAGCATGGTAGTTAACGAGCTGAAGCCGGAGTCCTTTCTGGCTGCAAAGTGATCCGTTCCACACCCATACCTCTGTTCCTTGCCTGAGAAGGGCCTCTCCCTGCCCTTCAGTCCTTCCTCACCCTGGTGGTCCCAGCCAGCAACTGGCCTGCTCCGGCCCTGCAGCGCCTTTTAAGTGAGCCTGCTGCGCTCTGATAGGCTGTCGGGAAGCAACCACTCTAGGCAGGCCTGGAGGACCCACCTTCACTGCTTCTGCTCTGGCGCAGGCTGTGGTAGGCCCAGAAGGCCTCCAACCCATCCTACTACGCCCTGCGTCACAATCGTAAAATGTGCTTCGCCGGCCACACACACCGCAAGGCGGACACCGAAATCACAAGCTGCTCTGAGTACGTATCGTCAGCCACCCCGACAGAACCGCCCCAGTGTTCCAGCAGGAGACAGGTGTGAAGTTGAGCATGGTCCCAATATGTCCCTTGGAAAGCTGCACCGTGACTACTTCTCTACGGCTCTGTACCCCAGCAAGTCAAGCCCCAAAGTCGTTCAGCAAATATCACATTCAAACTTCCCGAGCGCTGGTTTGCAGTACCAGAGCGCCTTGGAGAGCCGTCTCCGGCACACATCTGGGCGCTGGTTTGCAGTACCAGAGCGCCTTGGAGAGCTGTCTCCAGCACACATCTGGGCTACGTTTAAAGTTTTCCGTTAAAAGCATTTTTGGAACAGAGCGTCTAGATTGGCACGGACGCTTTTCCGCAAAAGCACTTTTTGCAGAAAAGCGTCCGTGGCCAATCTAGACGCGCTTTTTCGCAAAAAAGCCTCAATCGCCATTTTCGCGATCGGCGCTTTTTTGCAGAAAACAAATCTCAGCTGTCTACACTGGTCCTTTTGCGCAAAAGGGACTTTTGCCCGAATGGGAGCGGCACAGTATTTCTGCAAAAAGCACTGATTTCTTACAGTAGGAAGTCAGTGCTTTTGTGGAAATTCAAGCGGCCAGTGTAGACAGCTGGCTATTTTTTCTGGAAATGCGGCTGATTTTCCAGAAAAACTGGCCAGTCTAGACACAGCCCTGCTGTTCTGCAAAGGAACTCGGTCATCTGAGCGTCACTCTCCTGATTAATTGAACCTGCTTCAGTTAGCTGTATTAAGTCAGTCTTTCTGCCCATTCCCCCACATAACCACCAGCCGGTTTGCTTCTTCGAAGTTCCTTCACATTCACCATCTCCTCCCTGACATTCCTTCGTCCTTGCCTCTGACCACCTCCCCCTACACATCCACTCCCACTAGCTACCTCTGCTGTCTCAGGCCTGCCCTTCCACTCCTCCCACGTTCGTTTCAGGATAACGCTTAATTAAGTTGGGTTGTTTGGACAGGTTCCTGTCTCTGTTAATCACTAGCCTTGCAAGCTCGCTTTATGCCTCTGCAGGCACCAGTTGCTCCTGCAAAGTAAGGCAGGGAAAAAATGCATCATTTACTAACACACACCACTTGGCCAGCACCAACACTACACGAAGAAATCAGGCTGAGATTCGGATGCTTCCAAATCTTATTTGGGTGCCAGAACTGTCCTTAGCAGGACTTGCTTACTGTCCTTAGCAGGATGCTGTGACAGGGAGGACCAGGCTCTGAGCCCAGAAAGAGCCATAGATAAGTCCTCCAGGAGGCTAGAGAGGCTCAGGAGGAACTGGCCAATCAGGGGCCAGAGAGGCCTACAAAAGGAGCGGCAAAGCTCAGCAGCACACAGTGTGAGACAGATGGAGCCATACATGGAGCTTTCTCAATGAAACCAGCTCCTCAATCTGGAACTCACTCCCACAAGAGAGGAAGCTGGGCAACAACAGGAAGTCTGGTGCAGTGGTTAGGGAGTTAATTTGGGATTTGGGAGACCAAAGTTCAACTTCTTGCTCTGCCACAGACTCCCTGTGTGACCTTAGTCAAGTCACTTCATCTCGCTGAGCTTCAGGTCCCCAGCTTCACAGGGGGCTAATACTTTTGCTCTGCCTTGTCTTACTGAGCAGGGGGCACTGCAATTCTATAGGTCAAGGGCATAAGTATATGCCTCCTAGATAGATAGATGAACTCCGGCCATTTCCAAACACAATGCAAACCCAGCTTCTCTGAGCTGCGTTCCTGCAAGAAGTAGACAAAAGGGACAAATCTAGCCCAGCCTGACTGGTGGAAAGGGAGAACATCAATCTTTATCTTTGTAGTCACTTGTTAATCTTGGAAGATGCTCCTACAAGAGCCCAGGGAAAGAAGTCCACACAGGAAAAAAAAGCTAGGGAAGAGCTAGGGAATAAAAAATAAGGGTAGAAATAACACAACCGAAATGTCATTAGTTTTGTCCATAATCTCTAAATCAAGGCTTTCACGAGGCGGCAGCAGCTGTTAACAGCCCCATCAGGCCCAGATGTTTAAAGGAACCCCTTCACAATTACAACTTGTACCAGGAGCCCTTTTGTTAAAGAGAATTCAGACGAGGCAGGGAGATTTACTGTGGTTTCGGAACGGCGATCAATGTGCATTTGTACTGAAAGCAGACAGCTCAGAGCAGTCACACTAGCTAACAATGCACTAGCTGCAGGGTATAAACTAAAGATTTACCTGGGAACTAAAACCTAACTGGTATGGTAGCGGGGCTGCTCCGTTGCCAGGCGTCTGGGAACAGTTAGTTGGCCAAGTGAGAAAGCCAAGGGGGATAGAGTAGGTCTGTCTGATCTGCAGCCCGGTCCTCTTACCCCCATGGCTCTTTGTGGCACTTGTGAGCCGTGTGCGGCGTGCTGTTATGGTCCCCTGAGTCCCATCCCAGCACCTCCTCCTGAAGGCAGTGCTGCCTGTCTGCGTCTACGTCTGAGGGAGATACAAGGGGCGCAGTTTAGATTTCTAACAGCCCCAAGCCTGGAGTAGTCAAAGGAAATACCGTCACATGCGCTAGAGAATTAACCTGTGAGACTCACTGCCGCAGGAAGTTCCGAGGCCAAGAAATTAGCAAAACGCAAGATGTGATTGGCCCTGCACATGGATACCCAGACTATCCAGCGTTATACTCACGGCACGTAATGTTGGAGGAGATATTAAATCTCACGCCTCAGGACTTAAGCCAGCTATTAAGAGAGCAGGGTGACCCTGGGTTTGGGAGCCGATCATCTCACAATTGATCCTGCAGGGTTTCTTGCGCCTTCCTCTGAAGCAGCCAGTGGTGGACACTACCAGAGACACGATCCTGGACCAGCAAGGCCTCAGGTCTGATTGCCACTGGCTGTCCCTATGTTCCGGGTCAGACCCATTGGGCCAGTCTCCTCTATCGGCTCCCGACCTCATCCCTTCATGGGCTGTCTCTCTCCAGCTGGAAGTCCAATCTGTCTGTTCCTCGGTGCCACTTCATAGTAGCCCCGCCCCCATCTTCCAGCAATCAGAAAGACAGGTCTCAAAACGGAAGCCCGGTCCCCCCCGCAGCTCTGTTACCGCCCTGCAGCGCGGTCTTACCTGCGGCTTGGTTTCCTCCTCGTCCTTATAGTAGAAGAGCTGGTCCCCACGCAGCACAAACCAGCGCTGCTGCCAGTTCTTCATGATGCTCCGCTGCTTCTTCAGCCAGCCGGACTTCAGCACTCGGTCCTGCGGGCTCGGGGACGCCGGCCGGGGGGCTGGCCCGGTGTGCTCGCCCATCACCAAGCTCTTCGACCGGGCTGAAACAAGCAACAAGCTGCCTGAAACCAAGCGCCAAGCAGGGGAGGAGACGCCATTCTCAACTGAGTCCATTTGTCCAGCTTCTCATGCCTGGCTTCTGGATCCCCCCCCCCCGCTCCTTCCATGCCCCATCCTCCTAGCAGGGTTGCCTCTCCTCACAACCCACTTTGCCCTGAAGGAACACTTGCCTCTCAGGCCATACTGAGTCGATACTGTTCAGACACGTCCCCCTTACTGGCTCTCATGGAATTACTCGGGCTAGGGACTGTCCAGGCCTAGCTAGCACCCCCGCCTCCAAGCACAGCTCGTATTATTTCTTATGGAAACAGGCCACTTCCCTTCTTAGTGAAATGGGAGCCCTGGGGGTCTTGGGGGGCTTAGTGAAGGTGTGTAAAATGCTTGCAGGGGGTGGAGGCAGAGAGGCAACGGAAGTAGAACAGAGCAGAATTCAAAGAGAAATCAAGGCTGCATCTCAGGAAAACTTCTGGACAGGGAGGCCCAGCGGAACGGAACAGGGCCCTCAAAATGAGGCGAGACAGGCCCCGGTGTCTGACTAGCATTGGGCCTAATGTCTGTCTGGTTAGGAAATGCACGGAGCAGCCTCATCTGTAAGAGAGCACAGATGTTTAGGTGAGACGTGTAAAAGGCACTACCAATGTATTGGTAAGTACTGGGAATCGCAAGTCAGGCTGTAGGGACGAAAGCAATTGCCATCGAGATCAGGAAGGAGGCGTTTTCACCTTTCGCTGGAGCAGTGGTATTGGCTGCAGGAGAAAGCAAGATCCCAGAACTGATCAGTCTAATCTGTCAGCCCCTGTTTTCTGCATGGTGGCGTGTTTGTCTGTGTGGAGGAGTGAGGGAAACCCAGCGTGTAAGGGGGGATGTAACCAAATCAGAGAGCTTCCTCAGGATGACTCAGAGAATCCATCCACATGCTCTGGACTAGATCTAAATGCAGTGAGTTCCGCACGTAGCCCCAATTAGTTAGGTTTGGCTCTTGACATTTTCATGAACGATGTAAATGAACTGGCCACATGCCAAGAAAAATCTGAGCGGCAACCGAGAGAGGAAACAGATCAGAATCTGTATGCAAGATGCAGGGGTGGCCGAAATGTCAACCCAGTGCTGTCTGAGTTGCAGACATAGCAGCTGTGCAGTCTGCCGAGCTTGCAGGGGGCCATTGACCCAAGCAGAACATAAGAATGGCCACACTGGGTGAGACCAAAGGTCCATCTAGCCCAGTGTCCTGTCTGCCGACAGTGGCCAATGCCAGATGCCCCAGAGGGAGGGAACACAACAGGTAGTCCTCACGTGATCCCTCTCCTGTCATCCATTTCCAGACAAGCAGAGACTAGAGACATTTCCTGCCCACCCTGGCTAATAGCCATTGATGGACCTAACCTCCATGAATTTCTCTAGCTCTCTTTTGAACCCTGTTCAAGTCCTTGTCTTCACAATATCCTCTGGCAAGGAGTTCCACAGGTTGTGCGCTGCGTGAAGACAAACTTCCTTTTGTTTGCTTTAAACCTGCTCCCTGTTCATTTCATCTGGTGACCCCTAGTTCTTATATTATGGGAGCCAGTAAACAACTTTTCCTTATTCACTTTTTCCACACCAGTCATGATTTTATAAACCCCTATCATCTCCCCCTACTCTCCTCTTTTCTAAGCTGAAGAGTCCAAGTCTTTGTAAGCTCTCTTCATATGGGACCCGTTCCAAACCCCTCATCATTTTTGTTGCCCTTCTCTGAACCTTTCCCAATGCCAATATATCTTTTTTGAGATGAGGCAACCCCATCGGTAGGCAGTATTCAAGATGTGGGGGTACCATGGTTTTATATAGATGCAATGAGATATTCTCTGTTTTATTCTCTATCCCTTTTTAATGATTCCAAACATCCTGTTTGCTTTTCTGGCTGCCGCTGCACACTGAGTGGATATTTTCAGAGAACTACCCACAGTGGCTCAAAGATACCACACCCACCGCCACACACCCTTCCATGGATGACCCCAGTGCCCAATTCAGCCTTCCCTGCAACATTTCAGGGGCTCCCCAGTTTGGTTCATCCCAGTCAGCACCCCCGCCCCTCCGCCCCCGCACACACACTCTAGGTCCTGTGCAATCGATGGGAAGCCATTTAAACTGGGGACGTCGGAATCAATCAAATCAATGCCATTTGATATCAATTAAAAGTCATCTTCTGCAATTTCATAGACAGTTAGCTTGAATCAATACACTCATTACAATGGATTGTCATTCCCGGCCTTCAATACAGGCCCTAGTGTGACTGGAGTATTTAGTTTGGTGCATTGTTCGTAAGGTCTTTGTTTAAACTGGGACACATAAGGGAACTGAAAATATTGCTGCTTCTTCATTCAGGAACCTGTCTGGGTGTCGCCTGCCTATGAAAGCCCTAAATAAAGGTTTCACACGAAGTACAAAGCAGGGCCATTGAGGCACATGTGCGGCCGGCGGTGGTGAATGGGGGGAGAAGCAGCAGTTCTGGGGTCACGCCTAAGGCTGATGTTTGTGTCTTCACATGGACCCCTGGAGGAGCTGAGTCTCTCGTGGGAATTCACCAGCCACACCCAGGGCTGAAGTCTGAAAAGGCCCATTGCTTGGCACGTCCATAGCACCTGCCTCCATGCTTGCGGTGCAGACAGCATGTCACCAGCTATCCTGCAGGGACTGGTGTGTCCCAGCATGCACAGTGACACCCTGCCTTTGCTTGCTCTGCCCTTTCATCAAGGCACTCTACAGACACTGAGCACACCTGTGACATCCTTATGACTAGTATCATCGCTGTTGCACACAAGGAGGTGGGGGGCTGCTGCCTACAGCTACAACCAGATACACACATCTAGGAAGACTAATCCAGGAATCCTTACTCCCAATCAATGTTCCCTGTAATTGTTCCATCTAGGTGCTGAATAAATTTTGTTGTTGTGAACCCAGGCATGTGCAGATGCGCACCACCACATGCGGCCAGCTGTGGGTTCTCTGCTAATCAGCTGGCCTGGGGGCAACTAAATCTCTCCTGGGCAGCCACCCAAACCCTCCGCTTACAGAGAACCCTGCTCCCAATCCCAGGACTGCACTGACTTCAGTGTGGGAGTTTTGCTGGGATAAGTTAGTCAGTGCCATGGTTTTATACAGATGCAATAAGATATTCTCGGTTTTATTCTCTCTCCCTTTTTAATGATTCCTAACATCCTGTTTGCTTTTTTGACGGCCACTGCACACTGAGTGGATGTTTTCAGAGAACTATCCACAGTGACTTCAAGATTTCTCTGGAATAGTTGTAGCTAAATTAGTCCCCATCATACTGTATGTCTAGTTGGGATTATTTTTCCACATGTGCATCACTTTATATTTATTGACATTAAAGCAGACCTGCCCCACAGCCGGGCCAGTGTGGACCCAGGTTCACTAGTGATCCAGCCTGTTGGCTCAGTGACAGGGCTGAAGGATGGACCTGAAAGCCCTACAAGGCTCTTGGGACTGGCGGTGGCACGGGAGCATGGAGGCTTTTGACTCTAGGCCCTCTGAGAGGAGCCCACGAAGAGGAAAGTGAGATGTGACTGAAAGCTGTCGCTCTGAACATCATTCATGTTGGGTCCTGGGCAGAGGGAAGGTCCCTAAACATGGGGGGAGCCCCACCCCCCCAAATGCTGGCCCCAACCTTTCTGCTGCTTCTCCCCCCCACCCAAAGACCTTTCTCCCTGCTCTCTCCTTTCTGCTCCCCCCTCCCGCCCCTCTTCTGGCCCCC